CAGCCTGGAAGGCAGAGAACAGGCTGCCTCCCCTGTCGCTGTGTCCCTGCTGCAGCCAAGGCCTTTGTGGAAATAGCTTATAGTTGGGGTCATGGCGTGTCACCCGCTGATACGGGTTGCTGCTTTCTCAAACGTCCAGGCTTCTTTTTCTTCAAAACAAAACTAGAACATTTTAGAGATTTGTTTTTTTTTAATTGCCATTGGACATTCCTATTCTAGGAAAGATCCTTTATGAGAAGTAATGTCCCACTCTAGGACCATGTGGGATGTGCTCTGATAACATTTATTTTCTCAGGCTCTTTCTTGTAGCTGCTGCTAGGCCTATATTTTAATGTTAATATTTAGGCTCACTTCTTAATTACCTTGTGACCAGCTTGAGGGCTTTTGCTAGTTATAGTCAAATCTTCACTTTTTGTCAGTGTCAGCTTTGCTGACGTCCGGCAGGCCTTGTGTTAAGTGCGGCTATTCCCGCCCTGGTTTACCTCCTTGGCCCAGATGAAGCCGTGTTAGAGAGCGAAGGCTGCACCCCACGTGTAAAATGAAACCATGGAACAGCTTGGAAGTGTTTAACTTGTTAGTTATCTAAAAAGGAAATAGACTTCATGCTGTATTCTTTTCACTGGTGTAGATCAAAGATAAAAACAAATCTTGAGTGTCCTGGCAAATTGTTGAATGGTAGCCACTTCTGAGCTATCTGCAGGGGATGTCTGTGGAGCGGCTGAAACGTATTCCTTCTATGTCCTGGGCTAATCTAATTTCGGTGCTTCCAAAGATCTCTACCCGCTTCTGCCCTCAGGATGCAAGCTTCAATTTCTCGCTCCTGCATGGCAGTGGGCCCAGCCTGGCCCCCCTTTCCTGAAAGTACCACTAGAACGCCCAGGCCCAGAGTCGATGATCTGGCTGGGATAATTCCATCTGTCAAGCTCATGTGCCTTCAAAGGCCTATGCATTGAGGAATATTTTCCTAGAATCATTTTTAAATTAATTGGAAGTGGCACTGTGCATCAGAGATGCTCAGGTCTGAGGTGGCAAGAACGTCTCTGTCACTCTTCTGCCCATCGCACCAAGGCTTCTGGGTGGTGAGAGGCACCCATGTAGATGTGGAGGAGCAGCGTGGTGACAGAGATGCAAATCACAGGGTCTTGCCCAGTTTAGAAGGAAAGATAATGACCAGTGTACTTTTTTTTAAAGGGAGGGGGTGTCAGCTGTTCTGGCAGATTGCCAGGACACCTCTTTAAAATCCCACCAGTTTCCTTTTAGAAGTAAAATAAAGCCCCATGCGTTTTATAAAGTGGGACTGTGCAACAATTACTAGGAAAGCTCAGCGCTGCCAGAAAAGCCTTCATGTTCCCAGGTCTGACACAAATCAGCCTTCATCACCTCAGAAGGGCTCCCAGCCTCGCTGCGCTGGAGGAGCCCCAGTCCTGCTTTCACAGGGGGGTTCTTTGGCTTTGTTCTTATTTCTTAAACAGAGCATAGAAAATTGGGCTCAGATGAGCCGATCTCTCTAAATAAGCATGTGGGAGATGAGCTGAGAGTAAGCTTTCTCCTTCAGCTTTGTTTCAGAAGGTACCATGAAAGCTAAAACTCTGCAAGCATACACATGTTGATATATTTAGATATTTTTCATTTACCAGTATATCCAAAAATAAAGTGAGCTCTTAAACTGGATTTTCCTGACTGAAATGTTTCTAACAGTTCTAAGAAGAAATCTTTTTTTGAAAATGTGTGATGTATCTTCCCACAATGTAAATTGTGCTGAACATAATCTCACTTTTTCTTGATGACTGAGATCTATCAGTTATTGTTTGCTTCGTGTGCTAACAGATTCTGGGCTTGTAGAGTTCTTTATTCTTTTTGCAATTTTTTTTTTTTTAAAGATTTATTTATTTACACAAGCACTGGGTACAGTCAGAAGCGCGGGAGGGTGAGAGAATTCACCAGAGCCAGAGGGGAGAGCAGAGCAGGCAGACTGATGAAGCATACTGCTGAGGGAAGCAGCGGGCAGCAGGAGAGTTCTGCGCACCATGTGGGACCCTCGCCCGGTGGCCGGGGATTGAACCGGCGCTGCAAAGGCTGCGGGCAGCTTCGCAGCCCAGCGCTCAACCGCTGCGCCACCGGGAAGGCCCTCTTTTTGCAGTTTTTCTCGATTCTAATTTGGCTCTTTTCCTTTCCCACTCTCCCATCCTTCCCAAGTGCTGTGGCTTCATTTCCCACATAGTTCTGCTCCTTCCTCTGCCCTTAGTCTTGCATTTTCCCCTTCACAGAAGCCATCCACCTGGGTGGCTTCACCCACCTGCAGGCCACTGCCAGGTATGCATCTCCAGCCCACCCCAGCTGCTGGCTCACCTGGTGGTTGGCACAGATGTCTGGCACCTCAGCATCCTGTTCTTACCTGCACCATCGTTCACCCCCGCCTCACCCCCTGCACTCACAGTGAGCAGCGCCCACAAAGCTGCCTAAGAGAAAAGCAGCTTCTTTTCATCACCACACTCTCCTTCACTGTGTGTCTAAACAACCTCCAAATCTCGCTACTCTCTGACCCCCCACAGCTCTTACGGTTGGGAGCACCGGCCTGCCCCAAGATGAATCTGCCCTCCCTGCCTCGCCCACTCCTCCTTCCACCGTCCCACTCCTGCCCACTCCTGCTTCTCCCCGTCCTGCTGCAAATACGCACTCACCCACCTTCGTGTCATCATGGGTGACATGCTGCTACCAGAGGCACCCTCCTCGCCCCCATCTGTGCATTCACTCCCACCCCTGGTGTCTGCCAAGGACCTGGTGCCCTGATTGTTGTGGCCTTTGCTGACACCGGTCTCCTGTGCTGCCCGCTATAGAGACCTCGCCTTTAACGCCCCTACACATTCTCCGCAGCCCCCCTCCCCAGCTACCAGCCCATCTGCTTCCCTTCATGGAAAGCTTTCCGCAAAGTGTTGCCCACACATACTGTCCTTCTAGCTCACTGACTCGCCTCAGTCCAGCTTCAGAATTTCCCAGCATCCCCTGAAACTGCTGGTGTCAAGGTCCCAGTGCCCTCGTTGCTGTCAGGCCAGGACGCAGCGCTGTTCTTCTGTTACCTGACACAGCTGCCTCCACCCCCCCCGCCCCCCCCCCCCCCCCGCCCTGCTCCCCACCCCAGCAGCACTGCCTTCAGCATCTGAGTCACCTGCTCCCTGACTGGCCATTTGGACCATTTCCTTTGCTGACTCCTCCCCTGCAGGCCTGTCAGGATTGGGGCTTCCAGTGCTTCCTGTGCCCCTCTCCTGTTCTCGTCTGTCCTCCATCCCTCATGCTGTCATCCAGCCGGTGGCATTTCTAAAAGGCCTTTACAGTTGGATGATGGCTGAACACAGCTGCAGCCTGGCCTGGAGTCGCCCCACAGCTATGGGGTGCATCTGTGTGTGCCAGGCACATTCTAACTGGAACTCGGGTTCCTCCCGCCTTCTCTTCCATTTCAGTGAATGCCCTTGCATCCCCCAGTTGTTGGGCTGACTGTCACCTTTCCCTTCATTTCCCTCCGTTCCCTTTGTCAAATTGTTATAGGACAGGGAGAGGGGCAGCCCAAACCCCGCAAACCTGCCTATTCTAAACGGGTTCTGCCATCCGCCGCATCAACACAAAACATAGGAGACTTTAATGGGAAGGAACTTTAATAAAACTAGGAAACAATACAGGTAAGGCAAAGAGTCTAGTTTCTAAATGAAGCACCCAAAGTTACCCGTCCCCTCGTGGGTAAAAGTCCATCCAAATGGGATTGGCGCAGAGCAAGGCCCCAAAGCCTGCCACAAGTCTAAAGCATCTTCCAGTGGGGACCCACAGAAAAGGGTCAGAAACTACCAGACAAGCCCGGAAGGAAAAGAGCAAAATCAACATCAAAATAAAAGCTGCCATGGTCACCTCCCCACGGGTCTCACCCACATCTGTGTCACCCCGTCCACGACCAAAAGACAAGCGCAGTTTCTTCACGTGTCTCTAGGCTCCATGTGCCTCCTCCAGGTCTCCTGGCTCCATCCTGCTTCCTTCCTTCCTCAGTCTCTTCTTCTGCTTCTCCTCTTCCTGCTCAGCTCCACCCTCCCTTGGGTGGGGCAGGGAACCTCCCCCTTTCCTGGGACCACCCTGTTACAAAATCCCAGCTTCTTCACCCCGCCCCAGCTCCCTGCATGGCAGGCCTCGCCTACTGAAGTTGTTTCCCGTCTGGTTTCCCAGCTTCTCCTTTACTTCTGGAATGTTTTCTCCACACGGCAGCTGGAGGTATTTTTTAAAATGTAAGTCAGATTATATCATTCCTTCATTTAAAACTTTCAGTGGCTCTGGGTGGAGACATTTGACAGGATGTACCCCACCTGCCTCTCTGACCCCATTTTGAACCCCCACTGGGGCCCTGCCAGACTTCTTGTTCCCCTTTGCCTGCTTCGGGCCTCTCTGCTGCTGGGTCCCCAGGCTGCCAGTGCTCATGCTGTTGCCAGCCGGTTTTCTCCCACATTTCTTTCACCTCCTCAGAGAAGCCCAGGCCATTCTGCCTAAAATAAAGTGGCCTCTTCACTCCCACCACTCCCTTCCTCTGACACAGCATCCTGTTTTCCTTTCCCAGCAGCGCTGGTGCTTCTGCACATTCTGCAAAGTGAAATTACATTGGCCACATTCTTGTTTTGTCTGTCATCACCAAAAGGATGTAAATTCTGAGTAGAGGCCTCCTTTATCGTTCATTGTCGCCTTTGCACCTGTAACAGTGCCTAACAGAGGAGGTAAGGAGTTAACTCAATCTGTTGGATAAAAGCTAATCTCACAGCTCCTGCCATTTCAATGGCTTCCTCTTCCCTTGAGAATAAAGTCCAAGTTTCTTGAAATGGTTTCTGAGTCCCTGTGTGGTCTGACTACCCCTGTGTGGTCTGACCACTTCCCCACCCCCGCTTATTCTTTAATTCATTGGTCCCCACCCTTCCCCCAGAAGGATATTTGGGGTGTCTGGATACTTTGTTATCCTAACTGCAGGGGGCCTAATGGCTTCTAGTGGACAAATGCCAGGGCTGCTGCTGAACTACAGTGGTCCGGGCAACGCCCCTCCCCCAGGAAATGGTCTGGGCTGGAATGTCAGTAGTGGTGAGGCTGAGACTTGTGATTCTCCAAGCCTTTGTCCCACTCTGAGTCGTAGCCATGCTGAAAGGACACTTTCTTCCCAGCCTACCCACCTTGGATCTACTAATCCCCACCCTGAAAGATCCTTCCGCTTCCTGCTGTCCCCAGCTGCTGGCTCTGTGCCCTGCCTACACAGAGTTTTAGGCAAATTGATGCTTAGCCTTTTCCAGCATGGAGGTAATCCATTTTGGCAGTTGTGAATTTATAAAGGTAAATTTCTACCTCAAATTAAATGCTGTTAAATGTAATGTCTGTACAAACATTTCTTCATATCTTTTTAGATGACCAAAGCATTGTTAACTGAAGATTATGTGTTATTTTTGTCACTTAAGTACAGAGAATAAACAGCATGAATTACTAAAACAGCACCCTTGAAGTCAGAGCCTGTGACCATAGTTAAACTTTCTCAGTTCTTACATATGATTAGAGATGTCTAAACACAAATTAATAAATTCTAATTGCTTTGTCCTTCACAGCTTGTGCCACATTTAAATATTTCCCTTTTTCCCCTTTATAATGACTAAGACAAGTATCTTCTCTTTCACATTGCATGTAAATTCTATGTAAAATGATACTTTACAGAATGAAAATGAGATTTCAGCAGCTTAATAGAAGGGTGTGCCAATTACTTTTACAATATTTGAATATGATAAACATGAGTTGATGCCAAATGTGAGTTGCTTTTTTTTTATTTATTTTATTTATTTATTTATTTTTTTTTTAAAATAGAGGCATGTTTTATTTATTTATTTGTTTGTTTGTTTGTTTTGTTTATACATGCACTGGGTACAGTCAGAAGCGCGGGAGGGTGTGAGAATTCACCAGAGCCAGAGCGGGGAGCAGAGCAGGCAGAAGGACCGAAGTACACTGCTGAGGGGAGCAGCGGGCGGCAGGAGAGGTCTGCGCGCCATGTGGGACCCTCCTCTGGTGGCCGGGGAGCAGCCGGGGATTGAACTGGCGCCGCAGAGGCCGCGGGCAGCTTCGCAACCCAGCGCTCAACCACTGCACCACCGGGGAGGCCCTGAGTTGCTTTTTTGATTGACATTCTGCCTATGTGCTCAGGAGATAAACTCTGTGGCCCTGCTTTTGTCCTCCCCCAAGCTCCCCAGTATTGCTGACAAAGATAAGCATTTTGAGGTGCTGGAATTTGTAAAGACCCTCACATAAAGATTGCAAAATTATATAGATTTTAATAGTTATGGGCAATAAAATCACAACTCATTAGTTTGTTTTAAAACTAAAATTTGCATTTTAGGATTTTCATGTGACAAAGATTTCTTAAAATATTTGTGCCTATAACTATTCTTTTTGCATGCTGGTGAGTTTGTAGTCTATTTCAGAGCAACTTAAAATATATATTAACACTGCTTTTTTTCTGGCAAATGAAGGGTTTCATGCACTAATTATTTTTTAAAGTTTTCCAAAGAACAAGACATTTTAACTTTAAAGGATAGAAATATTCTCTGCCATTGCATATTTCTTTTACTGTGTTTCTAGCACTTTAGAATTTTTTTTTGTATGTTCTATCTTGCGAAAGATAGGTATTGGTTTTAAAAATAGTTAAATCTTTTTGTTTATCCATACCTTTAGCTTTATCTGAAATTTATTCAACCTACCTAAGAAACCCCCAAATGGGCACCTGCACATTTCACTTAACCCCTTTTCAGAACTCCAACACCCAGGTGGATTTTCCAGTCCTGCCTTTATTTCACTCTTTGGTGAAATAAGTAAGCCACTAGTCCTGCTTAACTCAGTTCTACAGCTATTTACTTATTCTTTTCTACCACAAACATTTACTGAATCCCTACTCATGCACCAACAAGCTCTGTTCTAGAGGACAGGACTAAATAAAAGGTAATTCCTTTGGGAATCACAAGTTCATAAGTATTTATGAATACTTATGTAATAATAAATGTAATACTTAGGTGTAATAAATCCTGTAGTGGAGAGAGAAACAAAGAATATTGGTGGCATAAGATTTTAAAATGTCAGTTCTGCTTCCGGGTTATAGAAGATTTAGGAGAAGATGAATATTTGAATTGGACTCATATATAGAGAAGGGAGAGGTGGTGGGGAGAGCCCAGGTGGAAGGTCTAAATTATTTAGTTGTAACCCTTTTTGGTCCAGAGACTTGCTGGTCATCTTTATTCCCTGTTTCCTCTTAAGTACTGTGATGAAGTATCATGGCAGAATCCTGCCATCAGCAATAATATTATGCTGCATTTTTAATAGATAACAGAGGTTTTCCATTCAAAAAGAATGAGTCACCTAAGGTAGAAAGTAGTTAGGGGGCTATCCAGTTCTATTTGACTTTCCACATCCCTGAGCGGACCTAAATCTGTTCCAGAGGTCATGTACATCTCTTCACCTTTCTTTCCTTTGTATCTTGAGACTTACTGTAAATAAAAAGCTGCTTTGTGTGAGTTATTTTTATTTTGGAGAGTGTTCTTTTTTCCCTCAAAATTGATTTAGTTGTGGCTAAGGGGAAAAACCTGAAGAGGCAGCTATCATAGAGATTGTATTTCTGAAGAGGTTCAAACTCTAGAAAGAAAATTACTATAGCAAGAAGCCATCTAGCTAAGAGTCTTTATGTCCTTGAATGTCATCCTGAAGAACACTTATCTTCGAAAATGACTTGACTGGTCAGAGGACTCATTATAGGAACAGGCATCAGGTGGGAACTTACATCAGGTCAGCCATTTCAAGTTATGACTGGGACGGAAGAAATGATAGCAATCAAAGATGGATCTTTTTAAAGGATCCCTCTGAAATGTTGACCACCATCAAATAGATGATCTTTTTTTTAATTTCTAGTTTTTCATTTGACAAATCTGGCCCTGGTGTGGAGCGATGTCGTGCATATGGTCCCTTTACCATTTTGTGTCATGGACTTGTGGCTCTGGGCCATCTAAACAGGTGTCTCGTCCTTGCTAGCAAGCCTGCGTGTCACACTGACATGGGATTGCAGGAGCTCCGCTAATTGCCATGCTTTTCCCACTCATCAACTCCTTTCATTATAGTTCCTTTCTGGTACTGCATTTCAGTGGCAGAAAGAATAAGAACAACTTTCAAGTCCTGAATGTAAAATAATTCATTTTAACAAAAATCGGCATTCTGAAATTGAAATCTTTTTTTGCTGATTGAGGGGGCTGCATGTACTGAGCCCCATTAGGGGAGAGCATTTTGTTCTCCTAGAACATGAGGAGGGCTGTGTGCAATCCTTATATAGTTAGACTTAAAGTGGGGACAGAGTGCCACATTTTTACTTGGACTTTTGTAGTAATTGTCGTTACTGGCTATATGTTTCTTAAGATGTAAGTTGACATCGCCTCCAAAATTTGAAGCTCCTAAGTCTGACCAGAAAAATGCAGTGCACTGTCGATGCTGTGCCGTCCTAGCTAGTATTTTATATTCCTGCTTTAATCAACAATCTAACGTGTGCGTTGGTTAATACGTGCCATCTTAGGGCGGTGTTAGCTGTAGCTCCATTTTAATAGACGGCTCTATCAGCCTTAGTTGGGGAGTCATTTTCAGCCAGGACTTGTCGCCAGCCTGCTTTGGCCTCTCTTCCAAGCACACAGCGCCACCCGCTGCCCCACGTCGTCCTGATGGCCCACTGGCGTGGGGCACAGCAGTGACTGACATACAGGCCATGGGGTTCTCTCCAAGTAGAAGTTTCTTTAGCTGGATCCAACAAAACAGGAGTCCCATTTCTGCCGCAACAGGGAAGTAGAGCTTAAGTCCATTGGGAGACAAAGCCAGAGCATCTCATTCTTCCTGCCATGGCTACCTTCAGGCCATGGTGCCTTACTTTCATTTATTTGTAATGGATGCATTTTTATTTGGCACACATATCTGTGGCAGCAGAAAGGGCCGCAAGGCAGGATCTCTGTGCTCGAGCAGATGGGGCGGGGGGGTGGGGGTTGTAAAGGAGGAATCCTGAAGCCCTCGGTGGCTTTTCAGGGTTTTATTCCGTGTAGCAGGTACATGGCAGGCAGGGGGCCGGGAGGCTGGCAGGCCTCCTAGCCCCCAGCGAGTCCTCACTCTCAGCACACTGGCATGTTCTCCTGGTCTCTGCTTCACTTTCGCTGTTCCTTGTTCTCCTTCTGATGCTCTTTTGCTCTTCCACGCCACCCTTATAAACCCAGTCTCAGCCCAGGTGTACCCACCTATGCAGGCCCACACCCCACTCCAGGTGCCCGCCCTCAGGCGTGCATTCAGGACCGCAGGGGTCCATCATCAGTCCTAATGGTAGGAGGGCAGAAAAACCTGACAGTTATTTCAGTTATTTACCCTACAATATCAAAATAGATGACTCGGGGCTCTGCACTGGCCTAGTGTGTACGTTAAAAACTGACGAGATTCATGTGTGTAAAACAGCGCCAGAAGTCCTGTGCCACTGTAGGGGAAGGAAGGACACAGTGCAGATTTTCTATAATCCAGCAGACTGGGTAAAGGAGGAGTCAGAATCCTGGAGCCCTCAGTGGCTTTTGCAGGCTTTTTATTGGGATTACCAGGTACACAGCAGGCAGGGGTGCTGGGGGGCCTGCAGGCTGGCAGTCCTCCCAGCCCCCAGCAACTCTCCAGTCTATCTGGGCTCTCCGGCCTTCTCTCGTGTTCTCTTTGCTCTCCTGTTTCTGTTCATTCTTGGCTTCTGTTGGCGTCCCTGTGGCGCCACCCTTATAAACTCAGTCTCTTAGCTCAGGTGTACCCACTCCAGGTGCCCGCCATCAGGCATGCACCCAGGACCACAGGGTTCCCTCATCTATCCTAAAGGCGGGAGGGCGGAAAAGCCTGATACTTTTTCCTTACCTACAGTCCACCCCCTCAGGGTTTTCTGCCATACAATCTACACAAGTCACATACATTTCTCTTGGCAATAGAACACTGCAGCCATGGCCCACAAAAACAAATCATATACATCACAATAGAACAACAAAATACATAAAATACAACGGAACACAAGTAATTCCAGGCAGAGCACCAACCTAGTGGCAAAAGACCATTATTGGCACCAGCAGATGAACCACCACATCTGCTGCCAAAGGCACTGCTCATACGAGGGAGGGGAACCACTCACGGCATCCTGTCACACACCAGGAGCTGTCAAGCTTCCTGGCCATCTCTGGCTGTAGTCTCAGCTACAAGCCACACACCGCATCCACCTCCAGGATGCATTCACTCTGGGATTGGCGATTCTATTCTACTGTTGGGGGTAATCGCCAACCCTCAGGGTTTCTGTCTGTGGTCGCTCCAACACTCAGCTTTCATAGCCACCAATGCGACTCGCAGACCCCTGCACTCAGGCCAACCCACTGCACAAGCACATGGGTCAGGGATCCAAACTCTACATCCAGCCTCTCTTGGTCCCCTCTTTGGCTTGGGCTTCAACCTAAGCCACATTCCCCACCCGTCCCCCAAGGATGGGTTCCTCAGCTCCTCACTCTCACTTAAGATTTTTTTTGGCTTCTACCTTGTCAGCACTGGTGAGCTCTTGAATCATGGTCCTCTTTCTTTCCGAAACGATTCTGCTGCCTCGGTGGTCTTGGGCTGGACCTGTTGAGTGTCTCCTGCAGGTGAGGTCTCGTCCCTCAGCTCCCAGACCCTGTCCATCTCCCGTGCCACCATGCGTCGTTAACAGGCAAGCACAGTCTGTTACTCCTTAGTCCCTCCAGGTCTTCGGAGGGCTCCATACCCATCTGCATGGATCATCTTGCCGACTTACGCCAATTGTAGGGGCAGGAGTGGACACGGTGCAGGTTTTCTATGATCCAGCAGACCAGACCGGGTAAAGGAGGAGAGAGTCCTGGAGCCCTCAGTGGCTTTTGCAGGCTTTTTTATTGGGATTTACCAGGTACACAGCAGGCAGGGGTGCTGGGGGGCCGGCAGGCTGGCAGGCCTCCCAGCCCCCAGCAGGTCTTCACTCTATCTGGGCTCTTCGGCCTTCTCTCGTGTTCTCTCTGCTTCTCTGCTCTCCTGCTTCCGTTGGTTCTCGGCTTCTGCTGGCGTCCAGTGACGCCGCCCTTATAAACTCAGTCTCTTAGCTCAGGTGTACCCACTCCAGGTGCCGCCATCAGGCATGCACTCAGGACCACAGGGTTCCCTCATCTATCCTAAAGGTGGGAGGGCGGAAAAGCCTGATATTTTTTCCTTACCCTACAGCCACAGACGCCCCTTTACTCCTTGGGGGAGCATAGGGCCGTAGTTGCTGCAGCACGTGCGCCGGGCCCGCCGCGCAGCCGCAGTAGCGGGAAGCGCCCTCCCGCCCGCGCAGCCGCACTCGGCCCGTGGGCGCCGGCCTCGGGCAACGGTTTCGCGCAGCCGCCGAAGCCGCCTCAGCGGGGCGGGTGCTGGCGCAGGCGCAGTAGCCAGCTGGGCGGCAACGGGCGGCCAACGGTCAACGGCCGTCCACGCGCCGACCGGCTGGGGGCGGCCGCTGTGCACGGCCGCTTCTCCGGAGCTGCCGCCGCGCCCTCCGGTCCCTTCAGCCCCGAGCGAGCCGCCATGAGCGGCTCCGTGCGAGCCCTGCGGGCCGGCGTCGTCCTCCGGCGGGGGCTGGCGGCCCGGGGCCCCCCGCCGGCCGGCCCCGCGCCCGCGTCGGCCCCGGGCACCGAGCGCTGCGGGCTGCTGCGGAGCCTCGCCCGCGAGGAGGGCGCCCCGCGCAGCAAGATCTCCATCGTGGGCGCCGGCTCGGTGGGCATGGCCTGCGCCGTGAGCATCCTGCTGCGCGGCCTGGGCGACGAGCTGGCGCTGGTGGACGTGAACGAGAGCAGGCTGGCGGGCGAGGCCATGGACCTGCAGCACGGCGCCTGCTTCGCCGGGATGCCCGCCGTCGTGGCCGGCAGGGACTACCGCGTCACCGCCGACTCCAGCCTCGTGGTCATCACGGCGGGCGCCCGCCAGGAGCCGGGGGAGACGCGCCTCGACCTGGCGCAGCGCAACGTGGCCATCTTCAAGGCGATGGTGCCCAGCATCGTCCAGCACAGCCCGCTGTGCAAGATCCTCGTCGTCTCCAACCCGGTGGACATCCTGTCCTACCTCGCCTGGAAGCTCAGCCACTTCCCCCCGGGCCACGTCGTGGGCAGCGGCTGCAACCTGGACACCGCGCGCTTCCGCTTCCTCATGGGGCAGCGGCTGGGCCTGCACCCCGAGAGCTGCCACGGCTGGATCCTGGGGGAGCACGGCGACTCGAGCGTGCCCGTGTGGAGCGGGGTGCACATCGCCGGGGTCCCCCTGCGGGACCTGAACGCGCTCGTGGGCACGGAGCAGGACCCCGAGCACTGGGGCCGCGTGCACAAGGAGGTGGTGGCCAGCGCCTACGACATCCTGAAGCGCAAGGGCTACACCTCGTGGGCCATCGGCCTGTCGGTGGCCGACCTGGCGGAGAGCATCCTGCGCAACCTGCGGCGCGTGCACCCGGTGTCCACGCGGGTCAAGGGCCTCTACGGCATCAACAAGGACGTGTTCCTCAGCGTGCCCTGCGTGCTGGGCCGGGCCGGCGTCTCCGACCTCGTCATGGTCAAGCTCGCGCCCGCCGAGGAGGACGCGCTGAAGAGGAGCGCGGACACGCTCTGGAAGATCCAGGAGTCGCTCAAGCTCTGAGCGCGCTTAGCGCTTGGAAGTCACTGGAGAGGAGGGTAGTTAGGGGATTGCACCTGTCGTTTTAAGTTCCAAAAGAAGTAAAGGGATAGAGGGACCCCAGTTTATTTAGCCCCCAGATGCTGAGTGAGATATATATATATATATTTTTTTTTACAATTCTTCAGTGACTGAGGACACTTTTGGGGGACCGTGGCCCTTGCCTGTGCCAGGTGGGGGTGTCAGCTGTCCGCTGGCTGCCCAGTGTTGGAGATGCTTACCCTTGGCACCAAGTACATCTTACTTCTTTCATCGTAGCTGACGTTTACTTGTGTTCGTTTATAAGCCGTTCTTTAGAAGGTAACTTCCTCTACAGTGTGAAAATAAACATATCAGCAGAAGTGCTTTCTGGGGCTGCCTTCATTCCCTTGTGACAACCTGTCAGCTGAGCCCCTTTAAAAAGACATGAAAGTGTGTGTGTGTGTGCGTGTGTGTGTCCGTGTCCATCCACCCTCGTGTCCGCTCATAGACGTGCCATGAAGCAGGATCAGTAGATTAACATGAAAATAATAGGGACCGCATTGGTAAGTTATAAAGTGTGCAATACATAAAAAATATAAAGCTTTTAAAAAGAGGCCTGATAGGTGGCAGTTACTGTTGTTTACTGGGCAGAGAAAGAACATCCCTCAATGCTGCAGCTACTGAAAAGAAAGCCTGGCTGAGTAAAATCATGTTAGAAATGCCTCAGGCCTGACCTGTTAGCACATTCCAACAAAAAGGGTGTTAGAAGTTGCTGTTACTGGACTGGCCAGCAGCAGAGTGGGCCTGGGCGTGGGCCCTAGGGCACCCCAGGTTCATCCCTTTTGCTTCACATTTCACAGCGTTTGCTTTTGAGTTGTGCCCTCTTTCCATCACCATAATTGGTCATTTAAATGAGTACCTCAGAGACTGCATCACAAAGTTACGCGTCCTAAATCAACTGACTTTACTACCGATTTTGCGCATTTGATAGAGCGCGGGTTTAGGAGAAAGTGAAGATGCTTGTCTGACCTTTACCGAAATGAATGTACGAATGAATCATTTAGAAAATGAGAAATTGAGATTTTAAAATTCACGTTTGCCTTCCTAATGCAACTGAATATTAGGTAATATGCTACATTCATAATATCTCAGGATGTGTGGGTGCCCACAGCCCAATCACCAGAATGTTACCCGCATCTACTCGGCTAAATTCAACTGGTTGAATTTTATCAAGTGGACAAAGGATAGTGATCCCGCCCCCCCGAAATGAGCTTAATTTCACTCTTGCTGATCAGAGCTTCCATACCATTTCATCAAAGACATGTAGGCGTGTTCCCCAGGAATTAATGTCTTGTAATGGGTTTATTATCTGATGTGCTGAGCTCCTTGAAAGTGAGGCAAGTAGTGATTCGCTTGTTCCGGGGGGTTCTAAGAGCTTTTTCAGTTCACCCACCACTGAGTTTCTCTTCCTCTTTGTCCAGCCATTGAGTTTTTAAGTCAGCCATGTTTCTGCCAAATTTAATATAATACTCTGCCCATCAGAGCAGGGCATCAGAGCATGCCGTCTATTTTGTAATTGTCTTCACCTATGCCAGGTTTGGCTGGGTTATACTGTAGAAAAAAACGAATCCCCAAATATATGTTTTAAAATAAGGTTTATTTCTCATAAAATCCACTGTTGCAGTAAGGGTTTACATGACGAGGAAGCATGCTCCACAAGCAGGCTCCGCACCCCAGGGACTTTGAGCTCTAGGCACTGCCAGAGCAACACAGGTCTCCATGATTGCTGTGAATGGGGAGAATTAAAAACACCTGCGATTAAATAATTCCCTCTGGAAGTGACCCACGGTTTTTTTTTTGTTCACACTTAACTAAACCAGAAGGACATCGCTGGCTACCTAATTTCTAGAGGGTGGGGAAGTATAACCCAGAAGTAGATGAGGACTGGTTATTGGTGAACATTGGTAGTACTATCTGCTGCGCCATGTCACATAAAATGGTCACCATTGTAAGAGATATATGGGTGTGTGTGTGTATGCTTTATTATTTTTTTTAAGATTATTTATACAAGCACTGGGTACAGTCAGAAGCGCGGGAGGGTGAGAGAATTCACCAGAGCCAGAGGGGAGAGCAGAGCAGGCAGACTGATGAAGCACACTGCTGAGGGAAGCAGCGGGCAGCAGGAGAGGTCTGCGTGCCATGTAGGACCCTCGCCCGGTGGCCGGGGATCGAACTGGTGCTGCAGAGGCTGCGGGCAGCTTCGCAACCCAGCGCTCAACCGCTGCGCCACCAGGGAGGCCCTGTGTGTGGATGCTTTAATATGGTGTTTAGTGAAAGCTGATACATGAGTGGAGGTTACAGAGGGTATCAGGTCTTTCCTGGTCACAGAAACAGAATGACTGAAGAAAGATCTCTGGGCTTCAGTCAGGTTTTTGCACTTATAAACTATCACCATGGATGGGTTACCCTCTCTGGCCTCTGGTTTCTTTTGAAGTGGTGCTCCTCATTCTGCCACACAGAATTGTGAAGACTAAATAATAGCCTAGTGCTTCGTATAGTGCCTGGCACATAGGTGATCTTATGTGGCAGGCATTATTCCTGTCCAGGTGACGTAGTGTGTGTGCGTGTAGAGACCATTTCCAGGTTGTTCGTAATTACTACTGGCACTGTAATGACATACCCAAAGGCTTTCTCATCACTTGATCCTAGAAAGCTTTTGTCATTCTAAACCTAGCCTGGAGACTGGCAGCCCTCCCACACCTGCGTGTGAGAGGTTGAAGTGACATGAGCTAGTCAGTGGCAGACATTTCAAACTTGGGGCTTTTAATTCCAATAACGTCCCTTGGCAATTAATGCTGCAAGTATTTCCTGAAATTAATTAAACCGAGGATTTTCCATACGTTCCCAGCCCACCATATATTACACTCAAAGTTTCATGCAGTTCTCTTTTCTGCCAAGTAAAGTTCTTTTCCTGCCTGGTCAAGGTGCAGTAGTATTGGCGCTTCATTCCCGGCCTACGCTGGCCCTTCAGCAAGCCACTGAAGTGGGAATGAGAGTAACATTCATCACTAGAGACCATCGTCTCAAGTGTGTTCCAGTGTCTAAAAATCAATCGCATCCTGCCTTCAGGACGCCGGCGTCAGTGACAGATGACGTGGAATACATCTTCCAGACGCGCTAGCTGACACCCGCTGCTGTAGGCCTTGGTGCTTTCTGATATAACAGCCTGGCACTGCTGGGCACAGTCCCTGGCACTTAGGGGTGAGTTTCTTGCAGCAGTGGCCGGCCAATCCAGGGAGTGACTTCATCACTTAGTTTTCATGGAGAGCAGCCCTGGCTTTGTGGGGTGCACGGTGGCCCTGCTCTCCAAGTCGCAGAAAAATTCTCCCTGGCAAAGGGAGAGGAGGGCTGCAGGGAAAAGACCCCTGAGTCTAGAAACGCTTGAGAGTGCAGCTGAGGGGCTAGAGGGAGACTTCCATTCCCAGCAGGTCCTGCTTCCATCAAGCTTCTAAGGTGCAAGGAGAGAGGGTGGCTCTGCGGCAAGAGTTTTGGTGGTTCTTGTGGAATTCAAATAAGTTCAGTGAAGTACGAACCCCTAAAGCGTTTTCCAAGCTCACTTTTTTTTTTTTTTGTGAGACCTTCGCCGGCAGCCGGGGAACGAACTGGCACTGCAGAGGCTGCAGGCAGCCTCGCAGCCCAGCACTCAACCGCTGCGCCACCAGGGGAGGCCCCAAGCTCACTTTTAAGTGGGAAAATGTTCTCTTAAGTGTCTAGAGCGTCAGTGACGAGCCTGACCCTTCCCCAGGTGCACGGCAAAAGCGGCGGTCGGTGCAAAAACTAAAGGTTGCCACTATGCGTACGAGTCTTTCAACTCACACCTCCACTGTTTCTAACTTAAATGTAGACTCTGGGCTTCCATTTCCACTGCTGTAAAATCCACGAAGGGGCTGGTGATGCTCTGTTCCCCACTTGCCTCTCTTCCTCTGCTTCGCTCTGTCGCCTCTTCCTAGGTGGCTACTTTCCAGCTGTGATTCCTTCCAGTGCTTCCGTTACTCACGACCTGGGAACAAACCAATAATACACTTGGCCGGGAGAGGGAAGGGAAAAAGCAGCCGGGAGGAGGAAACGGGAACAGGCATGCAGAGGCAGCTCTCCTCCCCGGCTTCCTCCGCGAGTTCCAGCCTCTCCCGTCTCCGCAGCCGACCATGTCCCATGTCACCCAGAAGGTTCATGTCCTGGCTGGCTGACACCCCACTTGAAAACTCTGCCGTTCTGCTTGCTTGTGACAGATGGTCAACCAGAAAGGGAAAGGGGAAGAATCAGGCCACACATTTCAAACCCAGGCCAGAGTAGTCCATCTTGTCAGCCCAGGGCACCAAACCCAGGTTCCTCACGAGGCACCATTGGTGTTTTGGGCAAAGCAGTTCTTTGCGTGGACCATCCGCGCCCTCGCATGCAAATAGCCGTCCCTTGTGATTGTGACAAGCAGAAACCCTTCCGCTTCCGGGCCCTTCAGATGCAGCCCTGCCTGCCTGTGTTTGAGAACCTCTCATAAGGTGTGAGAGGTTTGTCACAGGGCAGACTGGGAGCTGCATGGAAGAGGGGCTGGGACTCACACCCTGCGACGTGTCTCTTCTAGACTGGTGTCTCAGACCCAAACGCTGAGGTGGTTGGCACATAACGGACAACCCAAGCGTCTTCCAGGGTCAGGATATTTCAATCAGGATGACGTTTAACTCTGAAGTGATACTTTTGACAAACATGCCATAAGCTCTGTTCTGGGAACAGCACGCATAGCAGATGACACTGATGACAAGAGCTGATGTATGTTGAGCACTTGCCACACGCGAGGTGCTGTGCTCGTGAACGCCCTCAGTCCTGTAAGTGGGTAGTTCCCGCCATTCTCACACATGGGAACTGCCACTGAGTGTGAGCAGCTTTCCCAGGCGCTGGAGCTCCAGAGAGGTCTGTCTGACACCAGAGTCTGTCCTACTAACAGCAGTGTGGCCACGGCTTGACTCAACGTCTGGGAATTTGTGAGTCCCCAGGGAGATACACCTCCCAGACTTGGAAGCAAGGTAAGGCTTCAACTTCAAACTGAGATAGCATCAGCATAAATTTTTCAGAATGACCACTCTGAAAATGACTTGCGTGTTGGCAATTTGTTCAGGGCGCTCCACCCACCTGATGGAGGACATCTGTCCCCTTGGGAAGCCACCTGGGATAGGACTGATGAGAAAACTAGCACGGCAGGAGCGCTTCTGAAGTAGGGTCTCCGCCACAGGCCGCAGGATTAGAAGAAGGAACGAGAGAGCGTGTGGTCTAATGAAAGGCTATCCAACTGCCCCGCTTCAGCGCCCCACTTCTTGGGCCCCCGAAGTGGAGGCAGGTGCTCCAGATTGACAGTAGAGTGAGATCTTCCAAATCCTGCTCCCACTCCCTGACTCCAAATCAGCCTCTTCTGGTAAAACCTTGACATAGATTTACCAAACCTTCGGGCACATAAAAGCATTCCAGTTTATCTGCTCTTCACTGACTTGTTCTTCATTAATAACCCCTGAGTTTCCTCTTGCCGCTCCTCCCCCAGCTCTAAAATTCCTCAGGGGGTATTCGGGCCTGAGAAATCCCATGCTCAGCTGCATCCTTCTATGTGAACGTCAACAGAGTATGCTGTCTACTGGGGAATAAAATATGGCGGAGGATTGAGAATCTAGAGCCTGTTGCCTTTCAGATTCAGAATGGAATTGCACGTCAAGACCGCGCAGCTCTCTGTCTGTGGAAGAGAAAAAGTGCGTCCCATTCCTCTCAGGTCGCCAGAACGCACCCTGGCCTTTGAGTGGTCTTCCTTGAAGTACCGTCCGGTCAGCCCCGGGGCCGTCTCTAATAGCTTTGTCCTGTCTTTGAACATTCGATGACGGATTTTTTTCTTCTTTCAGATGAAAGACTTTCGAAATAAGATGCAGTCAATATTTCCAGCAATTCCCAAGAACTCCGACTCGGCTGTTGAGTGGGAAGAAGTATTGAAATCCAAATGAGAGGGCGCGGTGCGTGAACGGCCCTCACGGACAGCCGTGGCTGCGGGACGCCCCCAGAGCAAAGGGACTGCTTGATTTCTCCTCGGGGACCCTGCAGACTGCTGACTGAGCACTCGGGGCCGAGGCCTCAGTGCCCTCTGGAGGGGGAGGGAAAGGGGTTCCACCCCTCTCTGCTTTAAAATGCATGTGAGCACGTGTACACGTGTACATGCGTGTACAAAGTTGGGGGGAGGGTGAAGTTTTCCCAAAGTTAGGAAAACTATTTAGAAATAATTACACTTCTCTATGCAAAGGAGATCCCAGTGATTATAAAGTTGATTATGATGATAAAGTTTATGATTATAAAGTTGAAACCAAGTTTTATATCTGAAACCAGTGACGAGGGTAACTTGAAGGCAGAGTCAGCCTGAGATACTAGTTATGGTTTCATGGGAATAAAAGCCCTTGTTGGAGAAGTCAGGCCGGCATCTGCTCGGGGATCAACAGGGGTGGTTTTGTCGCAGTTGTCATTGTGAAAATAGCTCAATTATCACCTATTTGAACAGAAAGTTCCCTGAGTATTGAATCTCAATAGTGAGTTGTAGGGGCAGGATGACACAGGGCAGGTTTCCTAGGATCCCAGCAGACCAGACCACGTAAAGGAGGGGTCCTGGAGTCCTCGGTGGCTTTTTAGGCTTTTATTGGGATTTATCAGGTAGATGGCAGGCAGGAGGCTGGCAGGCCTCCCGGCCCCCAGCAAGTCTTCACTCTTTCTGGGCTCTCCGGCCTTCTCTCTCGTTCTCTCTGCTTCTCTGCTCTCCCATTGGTTCTTCTGCTGGCGTTCCCGTGACACCGCCCTTATAAGCCTAGTCTTAGCCCAGGTGTGCCCACTTACGCATGCCCACACCCTCCTCCAGGTGCCCGCCATCAGGCATGCATTCAGGACCACAGGGATCCATCATCAATCCTAATGGCGGGAGGGCAGAAAAGCCTGATGCTTTTTCACTTACCCTACATAAGTATTTAGCAGCACCTCCCTGAGGAACCTGCTACAGGTAAATCCTGACACATGCACGCAGCCCTTTCCTGCCTCCGTGATACCTTACAGAAAACTGAATAATGTCGACATGCAATTATTTTTACGGGAGATTAAAATTTTTGGAAAGAGAGAAATATTTTAATATGTTAATATGCCCAGAAGAATAACCTCTGGTTATTTTAATATCAGTTGTGCAATTTCTTTATAATTGCTTAGCCTCTAATTAGCAATCAAGTTTAATATAATGCATTTGAAAATTTATGTGTTATAATGAAACCTTTTAGTTCTAAAGAAACTTTTAAAATGAAATGTCAAGTGCCTAATGTAACATCTTTCTCTGGACTATGTTACCCTTTGAAAATTGCTGTATTGTTAATTAAACAGGTGTAATCAGTGTCTAGGATCCATATGTAACCTGTTCAAAATCCAAGACTAAAAGGAAAGGCTTGCATGTAGAGCAGCAAAAACTCTTCACCCAGCTTTCATTTTTAACGAAATCTCCACTAAGAAAATATTTCTAACCTTTGAAGGAAGTGAAGGCAAGACAGGAGCCAAATTGAACAGATTTCTGTCCTTATTATTCTGAGTCTAATTATTCTATGTTCCCCTTGATAGCGGAATGGGAACCACTGAAAACTGTTTAAAACCAGAATGTAGAGTTTGATTATCCCAGACAAGTTAGAAATTCTCATTTTCTCTGATCCCCTAGAGATCTTTTAAAAATCAATAGGTATTCTATATCTAAAACAAATAAAAGGGGAAATCATGATTGGTTTAATAGGTTCCTGCTGGTAAGCTGCAAGTGCAGCAAGGCCTCCCTCAGGGCCCAGGAGCTGGTGACGCCCGCCCCCCATCCCAGGGTGGTGAGGGGGGGGGCCTGGCTCGAGGAAGTCTGCAGGGAGGCAGTCTGGTCCTTACCTGTGTGGCATGGCCTCTGCTTGCAAAACCCTTTCCCTGAGGGGCGGCCCAGTGACTCCCTGCAGGGTGTGCAGAGGGCAGGCTGATGGGGACAGGTTCTCCAGAACAGGCACCCAGCACAGGCTCCAGCCGCCTTTTGAAAGCAAATACAATGCAACAATGAGGAAAATTTAAAGGAAAACAAGCAATATGACATCAGTGGTATATATTTTTTTTTTTTTTTTACAGTCACAACTCAGATATCAGAAGATTTAGTCATTTGTCTACTCCTTTTATACCAGGGGCATATTGTTAAATTGGTTAATGGAAAGGAAAAATGTTTAACAGATAATGTTATTCTTTATGTGAAGTACCATCTGTGTATTGAATTCTGAAGGTTCCTGGATATGGAAGAGAGGAAATGTTATGGAATTTCAAGTTTGCCTTCTTTGCCGTCTTTATCTCGGGTAGAGTGTGACAAACATAATCACATTTATCTCCTGGAGCATAAAGAGTTTTAATCACCCTATTAACCAGGATGACATTTTTCACAGACTTAAAAAGGAATAGAACAGACATTATCTCCCCATAAGCAATCCATTTCATGGAGGCTGAGCACTAGAAATTTTTTAAAGGATGGATAATACAATTTCCATTTCGTGGGTAAGCCAACATTACGGCGGCTTGCGGTGAGAATGTTCCTTGCACAGGCTGAGCGTTCAACTTCGCATTTAGCATCTCAGAGGCCCCAAAGAGCTAGTAGAGAAAGCAATATTGAGGGAACGTGGTGCGCAGGGAGGGGCGCCGCTCAAGCCTTGGGATTCATTCCAGGAAAAAAAATATGTATTCTGCTAAGTTATTGCTGCCTTGTAAAAATGTATCCACGGGATGCTGTTATTTTCAGTGGAGAAATTGGGGTTTCTGAATAACCTGGCAATGAAAAATAGGGCATGGGAAACTGCCTCCAAGATGCCCAATGCCTGACTGGATGAGAAGCAGGTGAGCGGGAGTCCAGCCCTGCAGAACCGAGCTCCGGGTGAGCGCCCCCTACAGGGCACTGACGGGGCTGCGCTCTCCACCTGCTCAGTGGAAGGGGGCACCTATCCCCTCGCCTGGCACCGATCCCCTCGCCTGGCACCTTCAGCTTCGTTGCATGGATAACATGGGACTCAACTTGCAAATTAATCATTGCAACCTAAGGGGGAGATATGTAAGAAATCGGGCCGGGGGTGAGGAGCAGGGGGACAAAAGTGATTGAAATCCACCAAATTGAGCTATTTCACTTGGGACCAAGTTTAATCTCTCCTAGGTTTGGGTTCATGGAGAATGTTGTATACTTTTCAGCTCCTTTTTATGTACCTTCCTTAAAAAGTGAAAGGATTAAGCACGAATGAACATCAGGGAAGAATACAATTTTTTTTCTCCAAATACATTCTTAAATGTCTCGTGAAAGGTAATATAAGACACACTTTTACAAACTTTTATCATGTTCCAGTGAGATGTTTTCCTTTCTGCCAAGAGGCAGAATGGTTTGTATTTGAGTTTCCGTATTGGTGTCATCAGGATTCATTATCAAAGGCTGTGATTTCGGGAGGGGAGAAGAGGGAAGTAGGAGGCTCTTGCAAGCACTGATGTTCTTCTGTAATAGTGATGTTTGAGGCAAATGACTCTGTTTTGGAGAAAATTTAAAAAGCAGTTTCCATGAAGTACATAAAATTTCTACTTTTCTGCCCAAGTGTTAGCTGAGGGATCCCAGGCCTTGATGGATCGTTCTGTCATTAGCTGGGTTGGGCCTCTGCCTCATTGTCGTTTCATGAGGTGTAATCACTTACTAAAAAGGAAAACAGAATGGCCAGAGAGTGTGTAAATATTCTTAATGACAGAGGATAATGGTGATTTTTTTTTTTAAATTATAGTGTGTGTTTGTTTTCTTATTGAGGTAGCATTGGCTTGAGGTAACTGTATATGATTTAGGGGTACAGGCCCACACCTCTTCAGATGGATGTTACAACTCCACACCTACCACCAATACCCCTAGAACCCCCCACCTTAGTCCATCAGGCCCCTCCCTGTTTTGCGCCCCACCCTCCACGCTTCCCCTCTGGTCACTTCAATTCTATCAGATTTCTAGGATTTATTTTGTCTTAGATTTATCAGGTCCTTTGTTTCTTTATGTCTACATAGGAGTGAAGTCATTCAGTGTTTGTCTTTCTCCTTCTGACTTTTTTTGCTTAGCGCTGTCCCCTCTATTTCCATGCATTGTTACTGCAAATGGCAAGGTTTCATCTTTTTTATAGCTGAGTAGTACTCCACTGCACATTGACCACATCCTAATCCACTGTGTCCTTGGGCATGTAAGTGGCTTCCATAGATTTTTTCTTGTCTACGGGGCTGCAGTGGTCACAGGAGTGCAGATGTCCCACATCTGCAATGGACTCACCTAGGAAGCTGAATCCCACAAACTGGGGAACTTGGCACATCTGTAGAACTCTATCTGCTTCTGAATCCACTGCACAATTTCATCCTCACACTGCCCCTGACCTCCAGGCTTGGAGCGGGATTCCAGATCTGCAAGTGGACAGACATCACTCCATGGGACATGGGTGGGTGGCATCTGGGACACAGGCTCTCCAGACATGCGGGGCCGCGTATCTGGATGGAGCAAGGGACAGAACTGAGTCGAAAAGAAAACTTGGACATGACTCCTTACGCAGTTGTGCCAAACTCTGCTGACCTGGGTGATAGGAATGTGTTTGTTTTTATTTTGTTGCTCTGGTTGTCTTCACCAGGGCCTGCCGAGGGACAGAGTGCCTCTGTCTCCTGCTCTGAGCAAAACCTCACGGTGGGCATCCTAATCTGGAAACCTCGGCGGTCACCCACGGCCACCATGGTCACCTGTATCCCCCACCTCCCTTCAGTTCTCAGGGGCCACAGCTATATAAAGATTCCTCAGTCAGGAGCGAGGTCACAAAGCTAAGAAAATTCTAGTAAATCTCATGCAAGACTAAAATAAGACCTGTTGTCAAAAGATAAGAATGATTGAGGGAACCTTTTGCTCTGGGCTTGCTCATGGCCAGCCATGGTTCTCTTTTCAGAGATTTATATTACAAATGATTGCAGTAAAATATCTGGAAATAGCACAAAATCAAGCCTCCTGATTAGGGCGGCGGGGAGGAGGCTTTTCCCTCTGGTGAGAGGACTCACCAGAGACAGAGCGGGGAACAACACAGGCAGATTGACCGAAGTACACTGCTGAGGGGAGCGGCGGGCGAGGCAGGAGAGGTCTGCTGCGCCATGTGGGTAGCTCCATGGCCAGCCGGGGATCGAACTTGTGCTGTAGAGGCTGAGGATCGCTTCATAGTGTGGTGCTTAACCCCTTGTGCCACCAGGGAGGCCCCTAAAAATTAAGACTTAATTTAAAGCAAGCTGCTAATGCATTCACCAGCTCTGACCTACTGAGCAAGAAGAAACAGATACAGTGAAAATCTATACATGCAAATATTAGTCAGGATGACAATCCCTGTGTTTCTCACCCCACTTTAGAAGCCTCACCCTCTTCACTGTGGTATTGGCAAGACCATCTCGAAATCAGCCCGGCCCTCAGCTCTGGGGGCAGGGTGGGCGGACAGCTTTTTTCTGTAGCCCAGAAATCTAAAGTTCTGCTGGAGGGAGGGAGGGATCAGGGCAGGCACACAGGAACACGCCAGGCTGGGGTCGCCCCGGCACAAGGGTTCCCTGAGGAAATTAGGCCCCCCACCTCCCTGGGAAGCTAATGTCCCCGAAAGAAGCCCAGTAATTCTCCCTAATCTGCTCCGTGCGTACCTTGGATGCAGGCTTCAGCATCCTGGCTCTCTTCCTCAGAGTCACTCGATCATTCCGAGCCGGGCGCCCTCACACATCAGTTACCTAGCGCGGCGACCCCCGGCCGGCCGCTTTCCCTGGGTTGTGTCTGCCAGGCTGCAGCGGGGGCTCTTGGGGAAGCTCGGGCTGGCAGGTTAATATCACCCCTTCCAGCGCTCACGCAGATGTCACAGTCCGTGCCCGGACCCCAGAACTCCAATGAGCGGGAGCTCGCACGTGCCAGGCCGGGCGCCGCGGGGCCCTGAGCTGTCGAGACGGGCACATGGATTGTATTCTCTGTGTCTCCAGACCTCCCAGGCACCACTCAGGGTGGCTGCTGGCAGCCCCGGGGCGGGGGCCGCCGCTCCGGTGGGTAGCAACGCCAGCCGTGCGAGCGGACCGGGCGGGCAGGAGGCAGAGGGCACCTCCAAGACGGCGGCTGCCCGTGAGGGCGACGGGTCCACGCCGGGCCCAGAGGAGCCCCAGCAGGTGTGTGCTCAGGGCCCGGGAGTGCCCGGCCACACGGAAAACACTCCAGGAACCTCCCAGGGGACTTCAATGGCCCCCCAGCCAGCTCCAGGACATCCCCCGCGAGGCAGCGGCAGGCCGGTCCTGATGGGGAGCCCGTGACCCCCGAGCTGACCCGCCCCTTGCATGTCCCTGCCTTACCCCAAGGTTGCCGCCACGAGGCTCCCCCGCCAGACTCACCCACCCAGACTTCCTCCAGCCCCGGGGCTCCCCGCTGGCGCCCCCCCTCCAGAAGGCCGGCAGAGGCGAGGGGTCCTGCTCCGAGCACAGGGACATCTGCCCCGTGGGGGGAGCCTCCCCAGCCGCGCAGCCTGCGGACGCCCGAGGCGGGCTCGAGTCCTTGAGTCCGTGATAACGCCTCGTGTTTCTCTGGGTGTTCGAGCCGCCCCCCGCAGACGCCGGGGCCTACATCCTCCAGGGGCCACAGGGCAGGTCACCCCAGGACCGCTGGCTCCCGAAAGGGGACTCCGGGGAACAGCACACTGGCGCTCAGCAGCCTCGCACGCTCCTTCCCGAACAAGGGCCTGCGGACGAGGGCCTCGGCGGGCGAGGGTCCAGCCTGTGCCGTGGCCCCTTCATGCTGCGCTGGCGGCCCCCAGCCTCCTGCCCGGGCTGAAGACACTGGGTTTGCTCTCGGCACCTCTGCTCTGCAGCCGCTTTTCCCCAGGCCCTGGCGTGGCCCGTAGGCTCTGCCCACGCCCTCCCTCGTGAGGAGCGCTTCCTGGCAGTGGGCACGGTCGCTGGGCATCTAGAGGAAGACTCCAGGGCCCCAGGGTGGGGTGAACGGGGCCGGTCAGCTCACCCCAGGGAGGAACAGAGGCCGATGCCCCCATCCCTCAGCCGAGACCCACGGTTCTCTAAACCTCAGCCCTCGTCAGGGTCACCTGGTCCCGCTCCCGCCCCAGCGCCTCCAGTTCCCTACGATGGCAGAGGACAAAGAATTCTCATTTCCAGCAAGTTCCAGGGATGCCACCGCTCAGGGACCACGGGCTGCGGACACGTGGCCCTTGGGACAAAGGGGGTCCCCTGGAAGCATCTTCACTGATAGTCCACAGACCAGCTCCTCAGAGTCCTACGGTGCACGCCGCCCTCACACCCCTGGGTCGTGACGCGCACTGGCCCGAGGCACAGACTGAGGGCGACTGAGACCCTGTGGCCCTCTCAGCCCTGCGCTGCGCCTTCCTCTCTCGCGTCGCCTCCAGCTCACACGGCCTGGCAGAGTCCCAGTTCCCATCCGGGCCGCGGGTGAGGCCGAGCGGGGCGGGCTGGGGTCACACACACAGGACAGAAACAGCAGGGGAAGCACAGGCCCCGGAGACCCCAGGGTCACTCAGAAATGAGTGGCGAGCACCTAGGAGAGCCTGGCCAGCTTGGTCCCCGGCTGTTTACTGCGTAAGTGGGGGTGGAGACAAGATCAGGGAAATGTCAGCTAACCACACGGCAGCTGCATGACGACCCGAGGGGAGGCAGCGTGGTGGGGAGTCCCTCCCTGGCAGGCCACATCTGAGAGCACGACCCGGAAGGGCAGCAGAAGGGCCGGTGGAGCTGGGATGTCCGTGACCTTTTCTGAGCTGTGACTTTATGAAATTGACATTTCCTTTCAATCGTTCGCTTATTCATTGAAAGCTCATTATTAAGTACCTTGAGGTGCTCTATGGGGACATGACAATGATGTGACGGCCCCTCCTGTGTACACTCCCAGTGGACAGAAGAGGAAGAGAGAAGGACATTTGGGGTGTTCTGACCCTGGCGGGTGGCTGGGTGGGCACGGCCAGGGCCTCAGGGCTGTGGTACTACCGCTACCTGCCAGCAGGAGGTGGCAGAGCGCACCCCAGCGCCCGCAGATGGCAGAGCAGGGCCAGGTGGTCCCACCTTCAGCGCCGGAACAGGTGGATGGCACCTGTGAGCTTTTATCCTTTCAAATGAGAGTGAAGGGCAGCGCTGTCCCCAAGTGGATCGCGTCTTCCTCGGATGGTGTTTGAACTGTAGGGTGGAGGGCGGGCATCCACCCTGGGATCCGGGTGTGACTGAGAGAGCCCCCCGCCTGCCCCCAGTGGCAGCACCCAAGAAGGTGCGACTCCAGGGAAGGTGGAGTTAGGTCCCTCTGGGTGCCGGACCATCACAGGCGGTGCCAGCCTGGAAGGGGAGGCTGGAGGAGCGATACCGAGGAGCCATTCAGGGAAGCACAGCCGGACCCAAACAAGAGCAGCCACAGCGGCAGGTGCTGCGCCTGTGCCGGGTCAGGAACTGCTCTGAGGACTTTGCTGTGTTGTGGCACAGGAGAAAATCCACCCCCTTGGATTCACCACAGGATGCTGAGCACATAAGGTCAGGCAGTTTGGTAGGGGAAAGACCAGGCGAAACTGCAGATGTTAGTAAGATCTACGTGGCTGTTCATTCTAGAGTGAGTGGGACAATGTCAGGGTTTAGCTCCTGAGCTAAAGGATGGGGAGTGGGGGATTTGGGGGTTCTCTGCTCTCTGATAAAAGGGTTATTTCTGGAGCTGGCCCTGAACCTGAGTCAGCTACACCGGTAAGATGATGGTGACAGTTTCTCCCAAGGACTTTGGGACCCCATGGACCTCAGTTCCA